AAGATGGCTTTACCCCTACTCTGGTTGTCCTCTTTGTGTCCCCAGGGCCTAGCTCCCATGGTTAATACATAGGAGGGTTCCATGAATGTTTTCTGAGTGACTTCACCCACCTGCAGGTATTCTTTATGTGCATGCAAACAAAGATGACCCCATTGTAGCCATTTATTTGTTTAAAAACTCTATTTTATCCTCTGTTCAATTTAATCAAGCAAACAGCCACTAAACATACTTTGGCTTAGAGCAAGATAATAGAAAGATATATAATTGCTGAAATATGATTTCTGAGATGGTCTGGTCTCCTACATGTAGCAGCAGGAAATGAAGTCAGAGAGACAAAACCATGTGACAGTGGCAGGGCCCAGCTGAAGGCTCTGCTCTCTGACCCCTACAACCTCACACTCAGCTGGCCACCTCTCACACCTTTTTAACACTGTATGGAGAGGGGAAATTCAGTTATGAAAGTGGACAGATCAAGTGGTGAAAGGAAGCCAAAGGAGCTAGTAGCACTACATTAAGAACCACGAGCAGTGGCTCTTAGCCTAGGCCAATAGCAATCTATTGTCCAGAAAAAAAGCTGTGAATGGAAACCAGTATTTCCCAGAGCTATTTAGAGGACAACCCCATCTCCCACTTATTGGGAGAGAGGAAGAACCAGGCTGCAGGGTTATCTGACATTGTCATCACTCACTGGCTGGGCAAGTCAACTTCTGAGTGCCAGGCCCCTCTCTGTAAAAGGGAGTGGGTTTTGCTAGGAGTGAGATGGCACACGGGAGCCCTGACAGCAGCCACTGAGCAAGGGGAACTTTTGCCAGCTGTCTTAGCAGTAGTCAGACCACAGGTGAGAGGAGAGCCACCATCTGGATGTGACAGCACTAGAACTGCTGCCTGGACTTTACCAGTTCTTTCCGCTTTCAGCAGAGCGCCCCCTTGTGCTCATGGAAAATAGGGGGTCTGATCACTGTGGTTTTTTCTGGGTTCAAAGAGTTTGTTAACGGCAATGGTGCAGGCTGTGATCAGAAGACTTCCAAATTCTTTTGTGTCCCACCAGGAAGAATCCATGGCAGGAGAGGTAATTGTAAATGGAGTTTATTAAAAGTTAGGGAAGGGAATTACAAAAGGGAGCATGGTGGGCACAGGTGGAGTGTGCAGACAGATCGAGGGTGCTTCTCTTTTACAGGTGCTTTAAAACCTATGCTAACCTATGGGTAAGGAAGAACCTAGTGATTCCCAACCAATAATCAATGAGTGGGGAGGGGCATGGATGGTCCTCAGGCCAGGTGAGGGCCGTCCGAGCTGTCCCTGAGCCAAGGCGTGGGCAACCACACACACACATCTGTAATTGAAGGCTCAGTGAAAGAGAGGAATGTTCAGTCTGAAATACAACAGCAAGTCATTATTTCCTGACTCCTGAATTTTCCCTAACTCTAGCCTGCCTCAGGTTCAAATGGGATAGGTGGCAGAAAGAGGAGGGACTGTGTGGCAAAACTAAATATTTTACACAGAGCAAAGGAAGAAAGTGTTACAACTGTGTCTTTTCTGGGGTCGGAGAGGTGAAACTCCTGCCCCCACGCCACACCCCAGGGACCATAGATGATGGCTGAACTGTATTTTTAGAGAAGACTTCGGCTTTGCTGAGGGCCAGAGTGGAATTGTGTAGGGAGGAGGTACCTGGAGAACAGAAATGCTATAAGACAGAATTCAGGAGACAGATCATTAGGTGAGAGCAAAACCCTCTTCCGTACCTCCCAGGAAATGACCAAAAAAACAACCATTCCTCACAAAATGGTTGTAGAATTGGATGTTTTCTCTGGGAGCTACGACCAAGGGTTCCAGGTGGCTTGGGAGAAAGAGTGAGGCTACTTAGGTAACAGATGTCACTTGCCCCACCTGGGGGGCCCCTGCAGCACAGGAACACTAATGACAAACCCTCAGGTAACGTTTATTGAGCCTTTTCACATTCTAGGGTCTGCCCTAAGCACCTTGCACAGGCTACCTTTTCTCACTGCCTATTAGTGCTATGAACAGCTGTGTGGTCCTCCTTATTTAAAGATATGGAAATGGCAGTGGCTCAGAAACATGAAATAACTTGTCCTGGGCTGAGCTGTCAGCTGTGACAGAGGTGGACTTCAGTCTATGAGACAGCTCAGTTCCAGTCTCTTTTTTTTTTTGGCAGTACTGGGAATTGAACCCAGCGCTTCCTACATGCTAGGCAAGAGCTCTACCACTGGGGTTTGAACTCAGAGCCTCATGCTTGCTAAACAGGCACTCTCACCACTTGAGCCACTCCAACAGCCCTTTCTTGTGATGGATATTTTTGAGATAGGTTCTAAAGAACTATTTGCCTGGGCTGGCTTCAAACTACGATCCTCCTGATCTCTGCCTCCTGAGTAGCTAGGATTACAGGCCTAAGCCACTGGCGCCCCGCCCCAACCCTTTTTAAATTTTATTTCTGAGACAAAACTGTTGCCCAGACTGGTCTTGAACTTGAGGTCCTCCTGTCTCAGCCTCCCAAGTACCTGGAACTACAAGTGTGCTCCACCACTCCTGCAGGGGTGGACTTCAAAATTATGTAATTTTGACTCCAGAGTCTTGCTCTTAATGGTGCACTACAAGCCAAGGCCCACTTTGCTTGTTGATTGCATAGCTGCCGTGTGAGAGGGATCAGACTGTGCCATTCATGATACACTGCTCTTTCTCCTCATTTGACTAAATTCATGACCAGATGGATGTCTTCTTCCTCCCTCAGCCATCAGAGAATCCCTCCAGTGATGAGTCCAGACTTCCCAGAAAGAAGAGAGGTTGTGGTCAAGGACATGGTAACAGCAGTGCTCCCTGGTGACAACTATGCACCCATTTATTCACATTTACAGTGGTCCAACTACATATGCACCATGTGCCAGGCACTGGGTAGGGTACACAATGCATGGAGAAGAGGCACAAAAATAAATCAGATGGAGAATCTGTCCTCTAGGTACTTGAAATACTGGAGGAAACAGCCATGCATAAAACTGAGTATATGTGAGTTAAGAACATCTTAATTAAGGCTGTCTTAATTTACCATAAAACGAGGACCAAATGAAGACTCTGAAACTTGAGAGCTGGAATCAATTACCTCTAACTTGTGCCTAAGAGGGAACTGCAAGCCTGGGAAACATGTCATGGCGCTGCTTGGAAAAGCAAGCAGAACTTGCGTATGCAGAGAAGAGTTGCTGGAGGACTGCTTTCAAACAAAGAAGGCCAAGTGCACAGAGGCTGTGAAGTGGGGGCCTGGACAGGGAATTGTCACTGGCTCTGTGTGGCTGGAGGGTTCCGCCTGGGACAGAGAGCAGAGAGGAAGGGAAGGAAGGAGGAGGAAGACTGGAGAGGGCCTTGAAAGCCAGGCTGAGGGTGCAGGCTTCATTATGTCAACCTGTCATTATCAAGTATTGTACGGTGGGCCAGGGATGTACCCCAAATTCTTCCTTCATAAATGGATGCTCTGTCTCCCAAAGGCCCACGTGTTAAAGGCTGGGTCCCCAGGGTGGTGCTACTGGGAGGTGGTGGAATTCTTGGAAAGTGGGGCCTAGTGAGAGTCCTTAGGTCAGTGGCAGTGTGCCCTCAAAGGGGTCTGTGAGACCCTAACCCCATCCCCTCTCTCTTTGCTCCCTAGCTTCTGGTGGGAGTGGTTTTGCTCTACCACGTGCTCCTGCCATGGTATGCAGCCTCGCCACAGACCTGAAGCAATGGGGCCAATTGATCACAGATTGGAACCTCTAAAAGTGTGGGCCAAAATAAACCTTTTCTCTTTATCAGTTGATTATCTCGGGTATTTCATTATAGTGACAGAAAGCTGACTGATGCAATAGTAGTGATCCACTTCCTTCTCAAGTAAAGACACAGCTGTCAGAGCGAGTGTACACTGAGTGCATCAAGTAGCACGCAATGAGAGCAAGATGTAATATGGGGTGGCTGAGAGATGAGGGAGTAGTGGAGTGTCAAGGCATTGCTCAAGAAAAATCAAATATTGGCTAGTACACGTGAAAACTGTCTCCTCGGCATATGAAAGTGCCATCAGGGCTGTGCTGGGCTCAGCAGCTGAAGGGGAACTATGAGATGACACCAGTATCTGTGACGCTTACCTGGCTTGGGTTGTGTAACATTGATTGGACATTCACCGTAATTACTGCCAACTTTTTAGTGTTTATTTGAATCATTTAATCTGGATTTGAATCCTAGCTCTGCCATTTGCCTTTGATCATGTTTCAGATTTCTGCATCCCTCCGTTTTGTTGTCTGCATTCTGCAGACAAAAATGCCAGAAGGAACCTCAGGGGCTGTTGTGAGCGCTGACTACAATAACAGGTGACACAGTGCTCAGCAAGGTGCCGGGCTCAGAGCAAGTGCTTGATCAGTATCATGTTACAATTATTTTACTTGTTGTGTAGGTCATTCTCAATTCCAGAATTCAAAGCTTGTGGGGAACATGTACCCACAAAACACCCGGTGAATGGCAGAAAAGAGGGATTCTTCAGGAATCAACGTGGGGACCCTGGGATCCGGTTGGACACATAGCTGACTCCAGTGCAACAGGACCCATATTTACTGAGCATGTGGTGCGTGCCAGGCTGTCCCAAGCATGTTACATGCACAACATTTGGCACAAAGTGGTGTAGGGAGAGGCCAGAGGGAGAAGAGCAATCTGGAGCCAAATAAGAGGCAGGGGGTGTTTTACTCAGCGTGCGATGCACAAGAATGAAGACCCGAGAGACCTGGCAGATGCCAAGCACACAGAAGCTGGCAGACAGGCAAGCCAAGCAGGCGGAAAACCTCCTGGAGCCCACGTGGCCAGACAGATGGCAGCATGTTCGTGTACAAATAGATGTCATGGGTGGGCTTGGGGAAGTGACCCAAAACACAGGCTTTCCCTCCAAAGGGGTCATTTTGAGAATAACAACTTGATGGCGCAGAGAGGATGGGCCCGTCTGATTTCAATAAATAAAAAAGATCCCACCGAACACTCACCTCAAAGCACTTTTCCTTCTTTGCTTGGTGAAGCAGGCTGGCCATCCCAGGAAGTAGAACTGGAAAGATGTAAGTTTCAAAATATTCCTTGGGAGAACCTAAAACAAACAAGCAAACACATTCCCACTGCAAATCCCAAACCACCCAGGTTCATCTGGGAAGAATGCTGAAAAAGGCGCTGTCTGCTCCATCATGTGAACTTCCATGTTCTGTGTTGCTCCAGACTGCTGCATCAGACTGTGCTACCAAAGGAACTTAAAATACCCTTTGAGCCTTTGTAGTCTGGCAAGAATGTAGGCCGGGTCCTTAGAGGACAGGATAGGTCCCAGGCAGTAACAGCAAGGAGGCCAGTGTGGTAGAAGGACAGAGGGAGGTTGTGAGAACTGAGCTAGGGTGGAGGGCAGTGCACAGGACCTGAGGGCCATGGTCCTGGTGGCTGGGGTTGGCCGAGTGGAGGCACAGAGCAAACCAGTAAGACAGGCCTGGGCACCAGGGAGGCCTGAGAGGTTGGGGTTCAGGGAGGAAGGTATGCAGCCCACACCTCCGGGCAGGGCAATGTGACATTTTTTTCTGCTCTGTGCATTTTTTTCTGGCCCTTTATTTCCCCTCCTTTGTATTTAATGTACAGCCAGAGGGAGCTTGTTGTTATTACCTCTAACTACCTTTTTTACTTTTTCTTTTTTTTTTTGGCAGTGCTGGCTTTGAACTCAGGGCAGCATGCTTGCTACACATGCACTCTACCGCTTGAGCTACACCTCCAGCCCTTTTTGCTTTAGGTTATTTTTCAGATATGATCTTAACACTTTTTGCCCAGGCTGGTCTCGAAACAAGATCTTCATACCTATGCCTCCCATATAGCTGGAATTACAGTTGTAAACCACCATAGCTGGCTTGTTTGTTAAGATGGGGTTTCACTAACATTTTGCCCAGTTTGCTGACCTCAAACTGTGATCCTCCTGATCTCTGCCTCACAAGTAGCTAGGATAACAGGTGTGAGCCACTGTGCCAAGCCCTATTACATTTGAAACTTAGAAATAAATCAGTGGAATAGAGAATACTTCTCTTAAAAATAAGAATTCAAACAAGAACACAGTCTTTCTTATTTATGTGATCTCCTTCCTTGAGGCCTGACCACTACCACCCTCACTCATCCTGTGGATTTGGAATGTCACAACCCCAAAACTACAAAAGACAAAGTCCCACTTGCTCACTTACATTCTTTTGGATCCGCTGCTTTGGATTTCTCTTGAAGACAAGGTGTGTGGGAGATCATGGGGCATGGGGAGCTGGGAAGTAGTGTTCTGTGTGGAAGCCGTGGACCACCACTTCCTCCAAGCGTGCACCCTGCTGGTGGGCAGGGAGGGAGTCAATGCATAGCAACAGTTGAAAAGTTGCCATTTCTTTTGTAACCACAAGGGAGGAAAACTCTGTGACAGACGTTAGGTTCCAGGGGGTGTTCTGGCATGTCACTACCTCCCTCCCCTCCCAAGACACCTACAAATGATAACCAAGGGCCATGTGTGGATGAGAGACTGGCCTGCTTCTGGTAGCGAGTGGACGTGGCGGCCACAGGAAACACAAGTGGGTACAGCAGACATAAGCCACCTCCCCGCCCAGAATTTCCAACGGGCCAGTGCTGAGTTGTCAGGCATGCAGAGGGCGGAATGAGGAAGGGAACGACATAGCGGGCTGAAGTGAAAACATGGCCTGCTGCCCACACAGCTCTCCTCCAGCTTCTGCCCTCAGTATTCATAAAGCTTCACTCACACCAGCATTTTATATAGAGCTCTCCTCTCCAAAGACCCCTGTAAACAAATGAAACAGCCAGGGAAGGAGAACTACATAGGCAACATGCTGGTAGCTCAAAGGAAAAATCCAAAAAACCTGACCATTGATTTGACAGTCTTCTGCATAGTCCCCAAAATTGAACTTCTATCTGCTCACCCTGAAGAAAAGTCTTGCATGAGTACCTGGTCAGCTCACTTCTATTCATAGAAGAGACCCATCCAGAAAACAAACCCACATACACAACAGTAGAAGAAAACCAGATCAGCTATGATGGTTGACTGAACATGTCATCCTCCCTGGACCAAGGCACTCTGAGATAGCTGGAAAACCATTACTGCTGGATGTTTCTGGAGATTAGCGATTAAGCTGGCGGACTGAGTGGAAGGAGACTCATCCTCATGTGGACACGCACCATCTAGCTGGCTGGAGGTACAAGGAGAGCAAATCTCCCTTTTGGAGTCAGGAAGACCTTCTCCTGATGCCTGGACATCAGAACTTCATTTTCTGCAGTGCTTGACCAAGACTTGCACCGGGGACCTCCCAGTTCTCAGGCCCATGGCCTTGGACAACTGAGAGTTTCACCATCAGAAACACCTTTCTTGTTTCTGAGGCCTCTGGATTTGGACTAAGCCAGACTACTAGCTTCCCTGGTTCTCCAGCTTGCAGATGTGACTTCTCAGCCTCCATAGTCATGTGACACTAATTAAAACCCTGACAGCTATCTGTCTATCTATCATCTGTCTATCCATCCATCCATCCATCCGTTTATCTTATCTATTTCCTATTGGATCTGTCTCTCTGAAAAACTCTAAGATACCAGCTATATAGAAAAATCTACTCAGGCCCACATTTTCAATTCTAAATAAACAATCAAAGATCTCTACACAGATCCAGAAAATCAACAGCATAAAAAAGATCAAGATCTATAAACAGAATGGACCTGGGATTACGTCAGAGGAGAGAACTGGAATTAGTATCTGTAGAGAAATTTGAGGAAGAATTACATCCATAAAGCAAGAATAGGATGCTATGAAAAAGGAACAATCAGAGAACCAGAAAGAGTTTTGACACAATCTGTCAGAGAGGCAGCTCTAGTAATGGAAGTTCCTCAGGTCTTAGGTTTTGGTGCCATCTCTCTGACTCGGCTTGAGTTCCTTCATCTCTCAGAGCCTTACCTTTAAAACACTCTAAACTCCATTAAATGTCTATTTAACTCAATGAGCGCTGGGTGTATTCCAAGGGCCCCAGCATCCTTCTCTTCCTGGCTGCCGCCTTGGCCCTCTCCTTAGCACACTCTTCGCCTGGCCCACCTGGCGTGCAGAGAACCTGCTCTGTTGTAACCGTCCACAACAGGGATGTGCTGTTGGGCAGCTCGTGAAGGCCTCTGTCATCTGGGATCCCCTATGAGCTTCACAGAGCCCTCTCAGCTACTTGAGGACTACCTATCCCACTGGACACAGTGGGAAAGGCTCAAAAAGTCACATGCTGCTCCTTTACTTACCTTCACGGAAGAGTTAGGATTGGGCCGAGGTTTCAAGTTCTAGTTCCAGGGCCTTCCCTTTATCACCTCCCTAACTTGGGACAGCAACCTCATAGACCATTGGTGGTGCCCTTCCCTGAGAGCCATTATCTGGGCTGAGGCCCAGGTAGTACTCACAGTAAGCACAGCTTCTTGTTTGACTTTAAGTCCTTCTGGAAAGGGGGGCATCTCGGCTTCATACTCTAGAGGGAGGAAAAAGCCCTCAGTCCCACACTTCATCTGCAGCTTGTGGTGAAAGTTCCTTTTCTCTGAATAAAACATTCTGGTATTTTAGCACCGTTTGTTTGGCGATACTAGGATTTGAACTCAGGGCTGACTTGCTTGCCAGGAAGGCACTCTACCACTTAAGCCATTTTGCCGGCATTCTGACATTTGATTTGGGTTGGTGATATACAGAATGAAAGTCAGCTGGCTATTGCAGGGTCACGTTTAGCGTGGATAAGCCACCTTATTTAGGATGGTCAGATGGATGGTCACAAGGTTTTGTTTAAGAGTCTGAGACTCCTGTACCCAGGGAGCACATCTTCAGATTTCTGCTAAACATTATGGTGACTAAAGGGAACCATGGGAGGGAGAACAGGAGGGTGGTTAAGGAAAGCCCACACAGAACAGAGCCTAAAATCCCCACGTTCTACAGGGAAGGAACAACTATAGCTAAGTGGACAGAAAAGCTCACGGCCTCTATTACTTGCATCCCTGAAGGAAAGACTGTAAAGAAATTCCTGGAGGTCAGTGTTTTAAGGGCAATTGCATAGTTACTTTGCAGCGATGAAAAAAAGAACATAAACTTTTTTTTTTTTTTGGTATTTTGAGGGGGCTTCACTATGTAGTTCCAGTGTAGCCTTGAACTCATGATCCTCCTCCCTCCACCTCTAGAACGCTGGGACTACAGGTATGTATCACCATGTTGGGCTTGGATGTAAAGTTTTATTCTCTTACTTAGTTACTTACCAGATAGTAGACATTTCTCAACTTGTTTTAACTCCTGAGTATCAGACTGGGGAAAAGCACATTGGTCCAATACCAGCTATTGCTGTGTCACAAAGTCATAGCAGTGCCCCTGTGCTATGGCTTGGATCTGGAATGTTACCACAGGCACACGCGTAAAGGCTTGGTCCCTAGCTCGGCGCTACTGGAACAGGGTGAGGCCTGGTGGGAGGTTTTTAGGTCACTGGGGACCACCTTTTGTCTCTCTTGGGCAAGCATTAAATTTGTTCTTCCTAAGCAAGGAGGGTGAGGGTGAAGGGGCGGGGGGCAGGGGAGAGAAAGGGCCCAATGTATATATATATATATATATGAATAAATAAACAATTTAAAAAATTTGTTCTTCTTCCCCAGTGCCTTAAGCATGACTGAGCTAGTGGGAAAACGGCTTATTTGAATTTAAAGTATGCGCATTTAAATACACCTCTTTCCACATGCAGAATACCCACTTACTGCCAGAAACTTTCAAATAATTCAGATGTGTTATGTAGAACGCAAAAATCAGATCGAATTCACTGCAACCCTAGAAGCACTGTTAGATTGGCATAATTCCAACCAAATCTTTGATGTATTTACTAATACGTGGAAGTCACAAATATATTTACTTCAAATCTCCCAGACTGGGTCAGACTGCTCAAACACAGAGTCCCATTAACTCTGTGTCCTTTGTAATAACTGACAGCAACTTTCCATTTACTTTTGTAAAAATTAATGCTTATCTTCTCTAATAGATTGCAGGTTTGGTGAGGAAAGGACCTGGGTTTTTGGGTTTTTTTTGCTTATTTTTATATCCCTAATAATACTCTTGTGTGGATAAAATACAGTGCAGGACTGGCACATGGCTCAAGTAGTAGGGCGCCTGCCTAGCAAGAGGGAGGCTGAGTTCAAACCCCAGTACGGAAAGCAAACAAACAAACAAACAGTATGGCTTGGACTCATTCAAACTCACATCTACTGAGAGCCCATCGTGGGGAACTAACTCAGGTGTTGAACACTGGGCCTTTCAGTACTGTAACATATACCATGTGCTACATTTAACAAGCACATTCTCAGTGGCCATGTGGGTTTCAATTTTTTCATTATTATCAGCAATGTCAACTCAGTTTGAGAGAGCAGCACAAATAGGAGTTTGTTGGTCCAGGCCAAGCACAAATAGAAGTTTGTTATTTTTGAGACCCCATCTCAAAAATAACCACAGCAAAAAGGGCTGGAGGAACGGCTCAAGTGGGAAAACACCTGCCTAGCAAGTGTGAGGCCCTGAGTTCAACCCCTGGGTACTGTCATAAATAAATATACCACTGATCTGGATGTTTTTTGTAGGATCAATTCTCAGATGTAGAGTTGTTCTGTCACAGGAAAATAACTCAAATTTGAGCAAACTGCCAAATCTTCCTATATAATGTTTACAACAATGGATACTTCTAATAAAACTTCCTGTTTCTCTATAGTGTAGTTGATCTCATATTTAAATACTATAGTTTTATTTGTATTTCTTTCTTACTTGACATTTCTGTGAAGTTTCAGCTCATTTAAATTTGATGGACAAGACCCACAACTTCTCTGTCACGTGACCACAAAAGCGAAACCATGAAAAGTTGTGATTATGTGCACGTATGGGAAAATCCACCAGCTTCAGGATAACATGGTGTGTTTGTCACTTGAAGCCTCTGTGATGTCTAAGGGAACCTGGCATATTTGATAATTCATCAATCTTACCTTATGATTCTAATTTGAATATATAATTGATTACAGACTGGTGCCCTTACAATGAAAGGCATAAAAGCCTTTTAGTTTGTAAAAAGCTTAGAATTCTTTAAAACAACTTGATTTACCAGTTTGATTCATTCAATTTGTTTTTGAGGTATTAGGTATCAAACTAAGGACCTTGTGCACACCAGGCAAGTGCTTTACCACTGAGCTACACTCACTGCACAATTCCATTTTTTTTCTCAGTACTAAAGATCGAACCCAGGGCCTCAAGCACACTAGGCAAGCCCACTACCACTTGAACCATGCCCCTCCATTCATTCAATTTTTAAGAGTTGCTGAGAAACATTGCTTGTATTCTCTAGTCTGCATAAGAGTGCTTAAGGAAGTCAGGTATATTAAGTTTATATCTGTTTACAATCTTTCAATTATTGAAGTTGGTAAATGGGATTGATTTGGGTTATTTAATCTTATACACGTTGTATGAACTTGAATCTAAGAGCAAGTAGGAACGGTTGTTATTTGTACAACCTGTGAAGCAGAATCTATAGGGACTGGTGAATAAACTTGGCCATTGGGGAAAGGGAAATAAGAGAATCTCCTGCTTCTAAACCAGGCAGCTGAGAGGGGAAGTGGCTGTTGGGGTCTACAAAGTGCCTGGAGCTGTCCCTGGCCCAGCACTGGCAGATGTGTGCAGCAGAAGGATGGCTTCTTTGGAGAAATGTGGTAGGAACTAGTCTGCCCTGAGTTGGTAAGGGGCTGGGAGTAGAAGAGTGAGAACAAGGGCATTGTGTTCTAGAAGCATGGCTGAGGGTAAGGCAGAGACAAACTTCTCCATCACAAGACCACAAAAGACAGACAAATGAAGGAGCTAGAGGAGGACATAGGCTCAAGGTGGGAGTTTATCCTGAGGTGACAGACCTGAGGGTTTCTGGAGGGAAAGCTGGTAGTGGCAGAAGAAAGGAGAGGAGGAGAATGACCGTGCAGGTTCCCGGGATCAGCACAGGCGTGGTGCCAAGGCCCACATGGAGGCCTGAGGGACAGCAGTGGGTGAACACTTCTTCCCAGTGCACAGATACAGGTGGACATGTCCCTACTCCTGACTGCCAGACTCATCTCAGGAAATGCTCCTGTGCTAACTGGTATTGTCTTTCATTTGAGTTAAAGCGTGGACCAGCGCTTGTGGGCAAGGGGAGAAGACTGATTCATGGTGAGTGATGGGCAGTGTTTATAGCCAGGTGGCGGTGTCATTTTTCTCTGGCTTGCTCAAGGAATGTGCTGAGAAGCTAGCATCTATTCAGAGCTGATTCGTGCTGGCATCTGGAAGGTGGGATAAGGAATAAGATTTTGTAACAGCGTGGAAGGCTGTTGAGCTGGAGAATCTTTGATTTACTGATGAACCAAGGGCAATAAAGGTATCACAGCAATATTACAGAAAGCTGTAAGAGCAAACACTTAGCCTCAGTCTTGGTGAGTGCCATAGTTAACATTACAAGATTAACTTAGAATCCTGGGAAGGAACAGAGTTTATTGACATGAATACAAGTACTTTTGACAATACAGAGTCCTTAGTAAACACCAGAAAGATAAGGGCAAAACTGAAGAATGTTTGCAAGTAAGTTATCACAGAGAATGGGCATAGGCTGGGAGAACAAGGGTCCAGTTTAAGTCAGGTTTACCTGTACTGTATCTTGTCTTCATGAAACAGAGGTTCTGGCAGTCCTGTTTGCTCTGATTATTTACTTTTTAAATGGAAACAAATAGAATGTAATTTTGAACCTCAAAGACAGGATTACTATGAAAACTGTTTTTTCGTGTTTCTTGTAAGCCCAGTTGACTTGCTGTATGTAGAACACAGAAAATTGCATGCTAGGTGTTCAGGAATTGGGTTTAATCATGTAGGTTAATCATGGTACCCACATATGATTCTCCATCTTTATCCCCCTAGTTCCATGTTTTAGCTTTATCACGTCACAGGGGACATCATTCACTTGCTGTTCACAGAGCATCAAACCCTTCATTTTTTGCTTTCTCCCCCCAGGCCTGATAGGCCAACAAAAACTGATTCTAAAACAGAAGGCCGACAATAATGAACACTTATTGAGTACTTTCTGAATGCAGGACTCTGTTCAAAGCAAGTTCTCGAACTTTATCTCCTTGGGTCCTCACCACAGCCCCATGAGGAGGTACAATCCTCTCCTCTTATGATGCGATCCAGCAATTTCTTTAAAAACACCCTGTTGTAAGTTGTACTGTGAAGAACAGTTTGGCTTGGAGAAGTGAATGCTGGGGAGAAGGCAGCCACAGTAGCTACCTTCACATACTCAGGTGGATTCTTTGGTAGAGTGACTCCATTAGCGACTTGGCCATAGCGCTGAGGGGAAGGATCTAAGGGGAAGGTAGGAGAACACTCACAGATCTTTTAGTGTGATGCAATGCTGGAGGAGGAACTCAGGCACAGAACGGAGTTCAAACAGATGGACTTTAAGGTTCCTATAGTCTTGAGTCCACTGTTCTCTTCTTCCTCTATATCCTAGTCTTTTGTTTTTATTGTTTATACATTTATTCATATACATTGTTTGGGCCACCTCTCCCCACAGTATTCTAGTCTTGATTTCAGTTTCTGCTCCTTTATTCTCACTCCTTTTGCTATGCTTTTTTTTTTTTTCTTTTGGCAGCACTGAGGTTTGAACTCAGGGCCTCATACTTGCTAGGCAGGTACTCTTACTGCCTGAGCCACTCCACCAGCCCTTTTTTGTGATGGGGTTTTTTCAAGATCGGGTCTACAAACTATTTGCCTTTGCACCACGATCCTCCTGATCTCTGCCTCTTGAGTACCTACGATTATAGGCATGAGCCTCTGGCACCAGCTAATCCTTTTTTTTTTTTTTGACTCATGGCTCCCTGTCCTTTACATTCCAGTGTACCATTCTTTTTCTCAATTCAAATAAATATTTGTCCTGCACACTCCAGTACAGTTAACCACATGTGGCTACTAAAATTAAGTAAAATAAGAAATTTGGCCAGGTGCAGCAGATCATGTCCTCATGGAAATCAGGAGGATCTTGGTTGGAGGCCAGCCCAGGCAGAAAGTTGACAGGACCACATCTCAATAAACAAGCCAAGTGTGGTGGTACACATTTGTAATCCTAGCTACCAGGGAGAAACAGGAAGACAGCAGCCCAAGACCAGTTCTGAGCCCCTACAAGAAAAAATAACCTAAAGCAAAAAGGGGGGTGACGCTTAAGTGGTAGAGCACCTGTCTAACAAGCACAGGTCCTGAGTTCAAACCCCAGTACCATGAAAAAAATACAAATAAATTTTCTTCAACTGTGCCAGCCACATCTCAAATATCATACTCAATAACCGCATGTGGCTCATGGTTACCATACCGCGTAGCAGATACTGTTGAAAGTTTTTTTTTTTCTCCCAGTACTGGGGTTTGAACTCAGGGTCTCACACTTACTAGGCAGGCACTCTACCACCTGAGACACTCCACTAGCCCTTTTTGTGTGTGTGTGGTTGGTTATTTTTGAGACAGCATCTTATGAACTATTTGCCTGGGTATGCTTTGAACCACAATCTTCTTGATATCTGCCTCCTGGGTAACTAGGATTATAGGCATGAGACACCAGCACCTGGCTACTGAAAGTTCGACTTGTGCTGTCTCAGGCAGTAATGTAGTGAGGATGGCCACAAGAATGAAAATTCTCATAGCACTCAGGAGGCAGAGGGAGGAAGATTGAGAGATTGAGCCCATCTTGGGCTGCATAACAACACTGTCTCAAAAAAAGAAAAAAAAAAATCTGTCTTGACCTTGAGGACCTTACAGCCTAGTGGAGTGAAGGAACAAAACACCCAATATTCCTCATTAAACACAGATTCAGTCTTGCTACAAATCACACCTTTGCTAGACACTTTGTGACTATTTGGTTCTATATGCCTAAAACCTGAAACAAGTGCTATTACTGTGCCCGTTTTACAGAGGGGATAAGAAGGCAAGTAAGTGAAAGAGCACCGGAGAGCCACAAGAACAAGTGAGCTAAGCCTTTTGTGTATTAAAACCCCTTTGTTAGCCGGGTGCGGGATGCCTGTAATCCTAGCTACATGGGAGGCTGAGATCAGGAAAATCGAGATTCGAGGCCAGCCAGGGCAAACAGTTCTCCAGGCCCCATCTTCAAACTAATCTGAGCAAAATGAGCTGGTGCCGGGAGCCAGTGGCTCATACCTGTAATCCTAGCTACTCAGGAGGCAGAGATCAGAAGGATCAGGTTCAAAACCAGCCCGAGCAAACAGTTCGCGAGACCCTATCTCGAAAAACTCATCACAAAAAAGGGGCTGGTGTAGGCCTGAGTTCAAACCCTAGTAAGGGCAAAAAAAAAAAAAAAAAAGATAAAAATGGACTGGAGGCAATGGAGCGCCTGCTCTGCAAAGTTCTGAGTTCAAGCCCAGACTTCTCCACCAAACAAACAAACAAAAAAAAACCCGTTCGTTTACACTAAGGCACTCAACGTGTGGATCACTGACCACCACATGGGGTGCTAATTCAAAGCGCAGAGTCCCCGATTCCATTGTACGCTCGGTGGTCGGACATTATGAATAAGGTGCCCAAGTCCGCCCCAGTGACCCTCAGTTTCCCGCGTGTGAACCGCGGGCGCGGCGGCCCACGTCAGCCGCCTGGCGAACAGTGGGCGCTGGGAGACCGGGACCCCGGCCGGCGCCCGCCAGGTCCCGCCCTCGCGGCCAGCCGGGCTGCCTACCCTCGCAGATTGCTCCCACAGGGTTTTGCCTGGTGGCTCGGCGACCTGCCCCGGCGACACAGGCCGCTCGAGGGACACAGGCGACACGGTGGGCACTGGCGTCGGGTTAGTGACCGACGAGTTCGCGGAGCCGACGGGTTCCTCCCGGGGAACGCTACGACTGGAGACCTGCCGCGGCGCCGCCATGGCCGCGGTTTCCTCGACAACCGCGTACGCCGCACGGCCGCGACCCGGAAGGAGCCGGACTTGCCGGGGGCGGGCCGGCGAGTCGAGATTGACTTCCGGGTTGCGGCGGAGCGTGCTCTCACACGGAGGCCGGGAGGGCTGGCCTGCAGGTGAGTGGAGGAGTATGGAGGGTAGCATGTAGGAGGCCGCCGCGGGAGCCGAATATTGTGTCTGGGGATTTGCACGGCAGAGAAGAGCTAAAAAACAGGCGTCCTGCAACCCCAAACCCGCCCCCTAATTGCCAGAGCGTGTCCGCTCCGGCCGGAAGCCCCCTCCTCCAGGGCGGTCTCCCGTCTTCAGTCGGACGTGATGTGGCGCGGTGGCCCTGGGGTGTTGGTGCACAGGCTCCCAAGGCCTGCGGGCTGGATTCGAGTCCCGTTTCTCACTTGTTGGCTTTTGAGACTTAGAACTCAATGTGAAGTCTCCAAAGCCTGTGAGGCGGGATAGTCACGCCAGTCTTCTATAGGCCCACGCGGAATGTAAAAGCGCTTTTGGACGCTGGCATGGTGGTGCACGCCTGTAATCCCAGCACTTGGGAGACTGAGGCAGGGAGACCGCGAGATCCAGGCCAGCCTGGGCTACCTAAGGACCCTGTCTCATTCATAAATAAGTGAATAAATAAGGTGCTTTTGAAGACGGCATTTGCCTTTGTAGGGGACGCACTATAAGAGTGGATGCATTTTGGGGTCACAGGCTGAAGAGCAGGGTGCTAAAGGGTCGGAGTGGCAGAGGTGGGGAGAGAAGCCCTCTAAGCTGACATGTAGCTTTATTGTCAACACTCTTCCACGCATCATGAAGTGAGCTTGCGTCCTTGACTCCACCCTCTTCAGGTTTGCACCCCCCCCCCCCGTCCACCTGTTGAAGCCTCATTATTTCTTGGGGTCTTGTCAAAGGTTAATTCTGTCCAGGCTTAATTACCATCCATATGGTCTTTATGCAGTGTCCATGCAATCAGTTCTGAGTGTCAGACCCACCCATCCTGCCCAGTGAACGTCTCCACTTGACTGTGGCAAGGCTTCTGTCCAAGCCACCTTACTTCCTCCAGCCACACAGCCATCCTGACTTCACTCCAGGATCGACACCACCATCCTTCCCTTGTGGGAGCTGGGAAGCTCTGTTTTTTGTTTGTTTTCCTCTTTTTGAAAAACGTATTAGCATGTAATAGTTGTACGGGGGGATACATTGTGATATTTACAATATGTGCTTAAAATATATCTTTGTTGGATTTACCCCGTCCATCATTCGCCCTCATCCCCCCTTAGAATAAGTTTCAGCAGGTTTCATTCTTTTATTTTCATATACAGATACATCTGCCCTATTCACCCTCATTCATCCTACGCCCGCCCTCCCCTCCAACTTGTTTCCACCCCTAGAAAAGATCTGTTTTTTCCTCCTGCCCTTCATTTTTCTAAAGGGTGTATCAGTAGTTCAGTGGGGGGTTCGCCTTGGTTGTCGGGTCTGTATATATTGTGCTTTGATTAGATTTACGCCTCCCCCCATCATTTACTGTCTGTCACCATGCTCCCCTGACAGTCAGCAGCTTACTGTACAGCCCCCTCAGGCAGGCTCATTAATACAATTTTTTTTCTCACTATATATATATATATATATATATGTATAGTGATATATATATATATATATATGGTGTGTGTGTGTGTGTGTGTGTGTATAATATGTTTCTGTACATACATTTAATTTATATTTTAGCTTCCACATATGAGGGAAAATGTAACTTTTTGAGCCTGGCTTACTTTGCCAGGTCCATCCAATTTACCCACAAACAACATAATTTCATTCTTCTTTATAGCCAAAATAAAAAACTCTATTATGAATATAAATACCACATTTTCTTGATCTATTCATTAGTCCTGGGGCATCTGGGCTGTTTCCAAAGCTTGGCTATGGTAAATGGTGCTGAAATAAACATGGGTGTGCACTAGCCATATCCTGTCCTGGTATTCTTTCAGATACACATCCAGGAGTGGTATCACTGGATCGTTTGGTAGGCCTACTTTGAGTTTTTTGAGGGACCGCCATACTGCTTTCTAGCAGTTGCACTCATTTACGTTCCCATCAACAGTGTAGAAGTGTTCCTTTTCCCCACATCCTTGCCAGCATTTGTGTCATTAATGGGGTCAGGTGGAATCTCTGTGGTGTGATTTGCGTTTCCTTTATGGCTGGGATGCTGAGCATTCCTTCATGTGTTTTTGGCCATCTGTGCTTCTTCCTTTGAGAACAGGCTGGCTGTTCAGTTCATTTGCCCATTTATTCACTGGGTTGTTGGTTCTTTGAAAAGTTAGTTTTTTGAGCTCCCTGTATCCTTTGGCTATTAATCCCTTGTCAGATGTAGTTGGCGAAGATTTTCTCCCATTCTGTGGGATGTCTGGAAGCTCTGTTTTTGAGGAACTTTCTTGACTACTGGCAGGCCAGGTTCAAGACCTCCTTCTCCCTGGCTTCCCCAGGACTCCCTTGCTGACTCTTCCCATCACCTGCGTCAGCATTGTTAGACCTTTCTCTTCCAAACCTGCCTGCTTTTTGATGGCTGGTGTTTGATCTTGCTCATTTCTTTATCTCTAGCATTCACTCTTTGAGTATTTATTGAGCACCTGCTGTGTGCCAAGCACTGAGCTAGCTCTGGGAATATACTAGGAAACAGAGCTGACAGGGATGAGATGAGTTTAGATATTTTGGAATGGGTTTCAAATGGACTTGAGCTATAGTTTAGGCCTAGCCTGACTCTTTGAAGCTGGTAAGAGTAAGCTGAGTCCAGTGAAGATCCCATGGGTGCTGAGACCAAGGAGGGCTGCAGGACAAGAATCTCCTGCTTTTCCTCCATCTGCACACCTGAAAGGGCTGTTTGATTTCTAGATTCCCTGAAGGTTTCCATGTTGTGTGGCCCACCCAGGGAGCATCAGGAACTGGGCACTTTACATGGATAGTCTCATTTGTTTCCTCCCACACCCCTTTGAGGGAGGAGGTGTTATTCTCCCCTGGCCCCCCAGTTTTCCAGAGGAGGAAACAGATTTAAAGTGGAAGAGCCGTTCACATTAGAACCTAGGGCTGTTTGAATTTAAACTTCCTGTACTTTACCCGATCTCCCTGTGTTCCAGAGGAGTCCTCTTCTCCATTCCCTAACACTCGGAAACATGGCTGTGCAGAGCTGCGTATTAAACAGGTTTGGATATGGTGATAACTTGTACCATTGCTTTTCTCAGGAATGATCACCAAGACCCACAGAGTAGACCTGGGCCTTGAGCTCCCAGAGAAAAAGAAGAAGAAGAAGAAGAAGGTCCTTGCTAAGGAACCAGAGTCTCAGTACTCGGTTTTAAATAATGACAGTTGCTTTGCTGATATTTCTCCTAAGAGGACCACGTCCTCCTTTCACAATGTGGGCCGGGGGCAGGCCTCCGAGATGCCTCTCGGGAAGAAAAAGAAGAAGAAAAAGAAGGGCCACAGCACCCATTGTGAGGAGCTCCTAAAATCTGAGCCCACTTTGTCACATGCCAGACGGACAAAGTCATCCAGCCCTGGGAAGCAGACCCTTAGCCATTCAGAGTTCCTCACTGGGGAGAAGAAAAAGAAGAGGAAGTCCTTATCAAGCACTTCCACTGCTCAAAGAGGAAGACCTCCCCAGACCGCAGACAGAGTGAGGAGGTGACAAGAGTTGGCAAGAAGCTCAAAAACACAAGAAGGAGAAAAGGCCCAGGACACCACAGACTTCTCCATCCAGGATCCGTGGCTCTATGAGGCTGGGGATTCTGTATACACCTGCTCAGTGGGGAAGGAGGCTGACGAGCATGCGGCCTTGGACAGAAGCGGAAGCAGGGGAGCCCCAGAGAACACAGCATGAAGATGAAGAAGAAGAAAAAGTCCGCCAGGGGGAAGACACCAATCATAGGCCACTCCAAGCCCTCCAGGTCCATGGAGAGCAGCCCAAGGAAAGAGAGTAAAAAGAAGCCGGTTAAAGTCGAGGTTCTAGAATACATCCCGATAGGAGACGGCCCTAAGGTCCCAGTGAGGAAGAAAATGAAGTCCAAGAAAAAGGTAGAGCTGCCCGTTGCTGAGGAGCCAGCTCTGAAAAGGAAGAAAAGAAGAAGAGGAAAGAGTGTGGAGCAGCAGAAGACCTTTGGTGGCGGTAATGGGTTCTTTGGAGGAACTGGCTGGGGGATGGGAGGATGTGCATTTGCAGATGCAGTGGGCGCACAGGCTTCCAGTTGCCAGAAAGGGAGAGGGGGGTGGGGGAGGCAGTGTGTTGTTACATTGGAAAGGCTGTTTGTCAGCTTCAGGTATGGCTGGGTTCAGGGGCTCCTGAACTGTTACCATTAGTACTGGCTTCCCTTGCTGTTGCCTCTCTACCAGGTTGGCACCATCTGCACTCAGATTCTGAATAAGTTGAGTTGAATTTTTTCAGATGAATCTCTTGCTCTTGGAACTCTTGCCACTTTTTCTTTCCAATGGAGCCAGTGGTTTGAAATAAATGATATGTAGCTACCTTTGCTCACAACCTGAGCTCAGTGTACCCCACATTGAGACTCATGCATTTGGATAGCAGAAGATGGCTGGTGACTTGTCTCAGCCTCATGGCAAGATGGTCCCATCAGCTCCAGGCTTTCTTCCTGGTGTATCGGAACCCCCAAAGGAAGAAGGATGGCCTCTCTAAAGCCATTACAAGAAACATCTCTGGCTGTCACAGGCCTCCATTAGGTCATGAGCCAGAAGCCCTGATGTTCTGTCATGACCTAGCCCACTGGGGCAGAGACCACTCATCATGTGCTTGAGCCTTACCTATCTCTGCCCTCTCATGCAGGAATCAGACACAGACTTGGAAGTGGTGTTGGAAAAGAAGGGCAACACGGATGAGGCCTGCATTGACCAGGTACAGCTGGCACCTGCCCCACCCTCCCTGCCTGTGATGCCTCTAGGCACACTCACCGTCTGTCAAGCCATGAGGTTTTTGTCTT